GATTTCTCAACTCCAGGAGGAGCTGAAGAAAACAAGTGAGCAACTGAGCACATCTGAATCACACAAAAAGCAAGCCCAACTGGAAGCCGAAGAAGCAAAGAAACAACTATCAGACATGTCTGCAAAGTTTGAAGAATCCCAACAGCAGGTGCTTGATCTCTCAGCTTCCGAGGAAGATCGTGTTCAAGAACTGCACAAACTTTCTCAAGATCGAGATCGAGCATGGGAATCCGAGCTTGAAGCTGTTCAGAAGCAGCACGCAATGGATGCTGCTGCATTGGCCTCCACCATGAATGAAGTTCAGAGGCTCAAGGTCCAGCTGAACATGGTGTCTGAATCCGATGAAACCCGAAGTAAGCTCGCTGAGTCTGCACAAGTTGAGATGGATTATCTAAGAACACAGCTCTCAGAGACTCTCTCCCTTGTTGAAAAACTGAAAAACGAGCTTAGTTACTGCAGAGAATCTGAAGCTCAAGCCCTCAACATAGCAAGGAAAAACCAAAATCAATTCGAAACAGCTAAAGCAGCTGTGGAAAAGCTTCAATCAGATGGAATCAAAGCCGTTGAAGCCTACAACTCTTTGTCATTGGAATTGGAACAATCAAAAGCTCATATTCAATCATTGGAAGGTCATATCAGCAAGACTCAAAAAGGCTCAGATTCAATCACGGGCAGTAAGAATGAAATCAATGACATTAAAACTGAGCTTGCCGCTATGAGATTGGAAGCAGATAAATCAAAATCTGCATTACGTGCAGCTGAGACAAGGTTTGAAGAGGAATCAGTTCGTACAGCAATGCAAATTAGAATTGCTCATGAACTTGTGGAACAAGTGAAGGTAGAGTCATGTCAGAAAGAGGAAGAATTAGATGCAGAACTGAAGGAAGCCAGAAAAGACATTGAACAATTGAGAGAAGACCTTAAGGTAAAAGAAACACAATTGTGCAGTGTCGTGGAGGTAAACAAGGACTCTGAACTAGCAATGGAGCTAAAGAAGCTGGAGGCCGACATGGCGGAGTTAAAGACCAAACTGTTGGATAAGGAGACAGAATTGCAAAGTACATCCGAGGAAAACAATGCACTTAAAAACAAGATCCAAAACATAGAAATGGAAATGAATAGAATCAACGATGAAGCAGTCACTTTGGCAGAAACAACCAAAGCTGCAGAGCAAGAGGCAGATAAAAATGGCCAAAGAGCGGCACGAGCCTCCGAGCAGCTGGATGCTGCACAGGCTGCGAATGCCGAAATGGAGGCTGAGCTAAGGAGGCTAAAGGTGCAAACAGACCAGTGGAGGAAAGCAGCTGAGGCCGCAGCTGCTATACTGTCAACCGGCAACAACGGGAAGCTTGTTGATAGAATAGTTTCATTGGAGAACAATTATCCTCTAGGCTCACCGTACTCGGAAGATCTCGACGACGAGTCGCCGAAGAAGAAGAACGGAAATATGTTGAAGAAGATAGGAGTTTTGTGGAGAAAAAACCATAAGTAAAGTACTGAAGATTCTTGTATGAATGTGTGTTAGTTTAGTAGGATGTTTTATGGTCTCCTCTGTTCTGTTTTTTACTTTCCCATTGCCTTTTGGTTTGTTTTATGTTTGAAGACTCTATCTGTGTATGCAGAGGCTAGAATTGGGCAATGCCCCACTTTACTTTTCAATATCTTTTTTCTTTGCATCTTTTGCAGTGCACATAGAAAATATGAATGCTTAAATTACCGATAGACGAAAGTCTATCTCGGCTAATTTAGAGAATGATCATGAGTTTATAAACAAATAATACTCTCTCTCTATTGGTTTGAGGCCTTTTGGGGAGCACAAATCAAAACCATGAGAGCTTATGCTCAAAATGGACAAAATCATACTATTGTGGAGAGTCGTGTTCGTCTAACATGATATCAGAGTCATGTCCTAAACTTAGGCGTGCCAATAGATTGAAATATCGAACAAAGGACTCCAAAAAGGAAAACGAGTCAAGCCTCCTCGAAGGTACGAAGGCAGTAAAAAATGACTAAAACTTCAAAGAAGTCGAGCCTCGATTAAGGGGAGGCGTGCTTTGTTCGAGGGGAGGTGTTCGATGATGAAAGTCCCACGTGATACTATTGTGGAGAGTCGTGTTCATCTGACGAACATTTTTATTAATAAGTTATTTTTATTAATTTAGCTTAAATTTTAACTTATATAATTTATATTTAAAAATTAAACTTAAATATAATATACATAAAAAAGGAAATAACCACGATTTTACAGGTTTTTTTCTTTTGATTAATGTATAATTATTTTCAAATTCACTTTAAATTTTGATAGCATTTTTTTTCATGTATATTTAAGACTAAAATAATGAAATATGAAATATATATTTAAGACTAAGAGGGGCAACTTCGTATAAATACGATAATATGAAGGGTAATTATGTAAAAGGATAGTTCAAACTCGCTATTGTTTGGGCTCAAAGACAAAATTTCATTGGTGGGGGCCCAAATTGTTTAATGGGCTGAAGTTGCAACTATCGGCCCGAACCAGTGCTCCATATATTAGAGCTTCATTCATTCACGAGTTTCTTCTTGGAGCCTAGGGTTTTGGTGCGCAGCTCTTCCATCTTCAACTTCCGAAACCCTCGCCGAAGTCGAAGAACCCGTTCTTTCTGCAAACATGGGGTAAGATTGTTCGCTTTGAGAGGTTTTTGAAACAATGCTTTGAAAATATTCTGAGATAACGAAAAACGATACCGTGAAGAAGGGATGCTTGGTTTGTGGATTGAGTTTTGTTATGGGTACTGGATTTGTATCGGTTTTGAAATGATTTACTTGCTTCACCATTTTCTACTTTGCATACGAATATTCGATTTATGTAATTGATTTTTATTCCAATGAGTTGGATTTTCTTTTGTGGATTTTTCAACTACGTTGTATGCGAAGGAGTGAATGATTGTGAGGACGTTTTCTGCTTTTAGTTTGAACAAACACTTATTGGAGTTCTTCATCTGATTTGAAATTCAGTTGATTTTTGTAATGCCATCGAATTTGAATGAGCAAGCGCGAGTTAAGAATTATGAACTCGCGAGAAATATTTGTAGCACTTTGGATAATTCCAGGCGAATATCAGGTTGTGATTTTTGTACCTGGTTTTGATTGATTGGTATTTTTCTGACAATCTTACCCAACAGGAAGACTCGCGGTATGGGAGCGGGACGCAAGCTGAAGTCCCACCGTAGAAGGCAAAGGTGGGCTGACAAAGCCTATAAGAAGTCTCACCTTGGCAATGAATGGAAGAAGCCATTTGCCGGGTCTTCTCATGCGAAAGGCATTGTTTTGGAAAAGATGTAAGACATCAAACGTACTGTTTACTTGAGAAATAATATGTTTAATGTCATGGCTAGCAATATGTTCCACTATCTCGATTGTACATTGTAATTCCGTTTATTAGTTTGCATTGTGTGATTTTATCAATATGGATTCTATACAACCAGAAAATTGTGTCAGTTGGTTGATTTTATTGTTGGTCGAATGATTTTAGTTTTGGTAACTTCAAACTGTATATAGAGATCTTAAATTTAGTAACCTAATGGATAAATTTATGCAGGTTCTCTCTGATGTAAACTGCTTTTGAATAATTTTTTAAATTTTATTTCGCTATGTTAATGTTTGGTATCTAAATAAGCAATGCTATTCTGATCACAGAGGTATTGAAGCTAAGCAGCCTAACTCTGCCATTAGAAAATGTGCCAGAGTCCAACTCATCAAAAATGGAAAGAAGATTGCTGCCTTTGTACCCAATGATGGTTGCCTCAATTACATCGAGGAAAATGTAAGTCTGATCTTATGCTACTGCCCCCTTCCAGTATAAGAAAAGATTCGAAAAAGAAAGACCCAATGAGATGAAGAGTGCTTAAAACTGATATCAAACTGTGATTGCAGGATGAAGTGTTGATCGCTGGATTCGGTCGTAAAGGACATGCCGTCGGAGATATTCCCGGTGTTCGATTCAAGGTCGTGAAGGTCTCTGGTGTTTCTCTCCTTGCCCTTTTCAAGGAGAAGAAGGAGAAGCCAAGGTCTTAAATTTGTTTGGCAGAGCTTGTTTGTTATCTTCTTACAGTTTTCTATGGTTAATTTTAGAGTACTTTCAGATATTGATTATTGGATATTTTGGACTATGATGTAGTTATTACTCTCTTTTTGCACTCTGAATTTTGACAACTTGTGGCATTTTTGAATTTGCTCAAACTATGGCTATGTTGAGTTCTTGATTGGTTGGTGTTCATGTTAGCTAGGAATTCTTTTTGGGGTCATAATGTCATGTTACTCTTTGGGCTTCTTCCCTTTTCCTTTTGCCCTCTGTGATCAGTGTAACTGCCCAAAGGAGTTTTAAAGTCTTGAAAGGGGAAAGCCCTCAGAGGACAATATAGCAATAGACCTTGGCTTACATTTAGGGTTCATTCAGATTTAACTTTTTTTTCTATATGGGAAATTATAATGCAATTATATTTTTTCTTAATATGAAAACTTTGATAAATTTATTTTCAAAATCATTTGCAATTCAGTTTCAGTATATTTTTAAATCCTAACAATTAAAATTGATTATAGAATTAAATAAAATTATAATAAATATGTTCTTAGACCATTTTTTTTTCATTTTTGAAAACTCTTCTAAATTTAGCTGTAAAATAAAATTATAGAATTAAATAAATATGTCCTAACAATTTATAATTGTTACAATTAAATTATATTTTCTAAATCCACAAAAATTCAGAATTACAATAAAAAGGAAATTAATCTTTTATATAAAAAAAATTTAAGGATTTAAATTGTTTACCTTTTAGACTTAAAATATAGTTGAAGTAGAATCGACAATAATTTAATTGAAACAATACGTATTTTAGTAAATTTAAAAACTTAATTTCAATGAATTGTGGAAAATTTTATTAGTGCGCCGTGTTTTTTCTTTTTTAATTTCTAATTTTAAACCGCCACTTCCACCAATTTCAAACAAACAAATACAAATACAAGAAAAGATCAGAACCCCTTTTCCCTCCCCTAAACCTCCCGCCCCTCTCTCTCCGCCTTCGATTTTTCAAATCATTCAATCCGGGTCGGACAGTTCCTCACCTCTTCTGCGCTTCTTCCAGATCTGTCTCATGGACGCCGTATATACTGATCACGATCGCCGTTTTAGCCGTCTCAGCCTCATCGATTTCGCTTCCGAGGACGATTTGCTAATCTCTTCTCCTTCCTGCGACTTCCATGACGCCAATTCTTTAGGTCCGCTCCGGCCGTTCTCATTTCAGTCTCGTTCTGTTTCATTGTGTTGTGAATTTTACTTTTACTGATAATTTTATCCTTTTCCCGCTTGTTCTATGTATTGAGCTGCTCGTGTTCGATTTCTGTTCTGTGGTTTTTTTTTTTCCTCGGATGTTTCATTTTCTTTTTGTTTTTTCAACTCAATTGGCAGCAGTCGCTTTCACTTTTTTTTTTTTTTTTGGTTGAAAATTAACCCTGTTGTTCATGTGTGGAAGCTTTGTATTGTTTTTCTAGTTTTGATTTTACATAATGTTTGAGAATCTTGAAGTTTTGATGATTGTTTTGGGCTTCGGTTTTGTGTAGGCTTTGCAAAGGAGGATGAGGAACAGGACAATTTTGAACGATTAGAGACTGTGGATTCTAACAGAATAGAGGAAAGAACAGATGGCTTCGAACAGAGAGAGGATGAACCTCAATTACTCCCATCTTCGGAACCGGAAAGGATCGAAAGAAATGGGAAATATAACTTGCGTAAGAGTTTAGCATGGGATAGTGCTTTCTTAACTGGTGCAGGTATTCTTTTATTTGCATTTGGAATGTGACATTAGTTTTGTCCCAGTATTCCTCTTACATATATATAACTTCTTGTATTTCAGGGTTTTTGGATCCTGAAGAGTTAACTAGCATGATTGCACCAGTGGGCAGGCATGAAAAACGTGTATTACCCATAATTCCAGAAGATGTTCTGAAATCTTCAGATTCAATTTCTACATTGGGTAGTGAAATTATGCCATTGGAAAGCATTGAGGGCAATTTATTCGAAGATGTTAGGGCTTCAATTCAGAAATCTAGTAGAACAATTGGGAAATCTAACTCGAGGATTAAAGTTGAATCCGGGCGACAGGGAGCACTAAAACTGCCTTGTGAGTAACTTCAAACACAAAAATTTTAGTTTAATAATTTTTTTTTTTTTTGATAGTTTTATCTAGATACAATAAGCCCTTTCTCAATAACCCAACTTCATAATGGGAGCGGTACTTGAGTTTTGATATGGTTCCTGCTTTAAGAACCACTTTTTCTTTTTAAAACATGGAGCTACTTGCGTCCTATATCAAATTGCCACCTTCTATGTATTTAGATGGAAAGATTCATGCGGACCAGATTACAGAACATTAATATTTTCACTTCTTTATATTTTCCTCGACTAGTTTGAGACAGCTGAGAGATTTTTCACCTTCTTCCCTCTCCCAATGACAATTCACATCTGTGTTTTTTTTTGTTCGTTTGGACCTTTTCGTTTCTTTTCTTTTTGCTTCATGCTAATCTGTCTGTTGCAACTTTCGAGTAATTATTCATTAATTCTGCAGGAGATATTTCGTTGTGGGTTTAGCAAGATTTATGAGTCTTTTGTAATATCTTTTGTATCTCATCAGAACTGAATCTGACATTACTCATTATTTTCAGCTCCAGGACGGCTTGATCTTACTTCACAAAATAAGGCAAGTTAAATGAATTTTTCAATCCTTTTGGTGTTTCACAGCAATTTTTTCTTTCTTCCTTATCCTTTCAAAAGTTGTATTTTGATGCTTGAATTTTCATATACAGTTCCTTTTGGCCCTTGTTATTAGATATTTGTCTAGCATTTAACTGAAACTTTGGTTCACTGGTTCTCAGAAATGAAATCACACCTTATATAGGTGTTGGTTAAAACACTGTCATCTGAAAATTCACTTAAGAGCTTAGAAAATTTTTATTTTCAGGGACCAAAAAAGATCTTTGTGCTCAGCTTAAGGATTAGAATAGAACATTTGAAAGTATATATCAAAATAAAATAAATGTATAAGTACAAAGGTCAAAATTAGATTTAAACCTTTTTTTACATATTCAAACTATAATGTTCCAGTGTAACATTTCAGATAAAGGACGGGTCTGCGTCCAGTAAGCAAAGTGATGGGTTGCAAGGACCTAGGAGAACCACTAAGCAGAATTCTTCACAACCACGCGAGGCACAGGTGAAGTATAAGCCTAAGTTTTTTTATAACTGATCTTATGTAATTCAAATATCTCTTGGCTTCTGTGGCTATTAAACCAGAGCATGGTTAGTTGCATTAACTGAGACACTGGCAATATTATTTCTAGCTGTTTTGACTGGATTACATTATATTCCAGTAGTCTGAAATTTGTGTTAAAGTTCACAGTGTTCGTTAGCTTGTAGTGACTGGTGGCCAAGGAAGGCGAGTGTACAACACCTGACTATACATTAGCATATGGCTGTCTAATAGCGATGTCATTTCTTGATCGTCCATTTTCTACTTATTTGCCCCACATATTTTTGCTGCTTCTGAAAAAGAAAATATTCCTACTTTTGAAGCAACTGAAGGCAATGGGCAAGCTTCCTTCAAACTCAACGTTGACCAAGAGGCCTTCACTTGCCGCCACTGTGAATGATAGTACTACGAGTGGTGCAGGATCTGCAGGTAACTAAAACTTGAATTTAGCTAAGCTAAATTTGTTCTTTGAACTGTGATGCTTGTATCTATCTATCCTGAATTTTCTCATGCGAATTGCAGATGGGCAGGATTCAGTTGGTCTTAGATCTACTACACACAAGCTTTCCCGACTTCCAACTGCCGGCACGAGGGAGCAAAAGACTTCCTCTGAAGTTTCTAAAAGTTCATCTATCAAGGTCGGTAAATCTTCCTCCAAAGATGCAAGGATAAAAACAGATTGTAAGGCTTCACCTTCCTCTGGTAGCACTCAGAAAACACAATCTCGAGTTGCACCTAAGGTCAAGACTCGTATTGGGAATTCTCGTCTCCCTTCCTACTCGATATCTCAAAGTAAGCATTCTTCAGGAATATCATCTGCTAGCTCTAAAAGTGAGTGGTCGACAGAGTCGTCATCAAATTCCACTCATGAACTTCAATCTAATAGCTCAAGAGCCAGCCTTCACTCAATTTCGAGCAAAAGAATCTCCGTAGACAGCGATGCATCTCATGATGGAAGTAACCCTGCTGTTGGATCCCATACTCAAACTACTGGCTCAATAAAGCCTTCGGGCCTTCGATTGCCATCACCTAAAATCGGGTACTTTGATGGGGTAAGTTTTGTGTTTTATTGTATCAAGTATCTGAGACTACTTATTTGTAGACCCAATATTCAAAAAGCAATAACCAAAATGGTTATCAAAATGGGAAATACCATTTTATGTTTTTAATTTTTCAAAATTTTAGAATTGAATATTTTTTTAATACGTTTTCATGACTGCATTTCACAGGGGAAAACTTCTATCATGAAATCTAATGTGTCTGTACCTGGTGGCACGACTAGGATTGGAGCTGGAAATGTCAGCGCAATTGGAGGCCAAAATAAGACCAAGCCTTCGAAGCTTCAACCTGTTACAGTGTTGCCCAAGAGCACAACTCGTGCTGTTAGTCAGCCTAATTTGAATTTGAAATCTCATAAAACCACTGCAACTAAGATGTCCAAAACGAATGAACTCGACCAAGAAGTCAAAGAGCTTGGTTGTGATGGATCAAATACTGATATGCATAATTCAGATGTATGTGCGATTTCAATTGCCACGAGGAAGATGAGCCTAGAAAATGAAGCAGGAAGTAATGCAAACGAAACGACATCAGCGAATACTGATGGAGAACTTAACGGATTACAAAACTTCGGGACCTGATGTTGATGGTATACTTCCATTTCAGAGGATCCTTGAATGTGATAAGAGAATTTGTTCAAGAGGGTTCAATGTAATACCGTGGAAAGAATTCATTACGAAGCCAACTGTATGCTCTTGCAGAAGGTAAGTCGGAATCATGAATATGGTTTAGTATCAACTTACCAAAAGAGTATAACTGTTCTAAAGTATTCTCGGCTTGTGAATATTATCTGATAATGTTCAAAGGAAAGCTTCCCACCTTCTTCTGAAAACTCAAAAAGTATTCTCCTCTCACTGCTCATTTAACTTTGGTAACTGTTGTTCATTTAACTTCGGTAACTGTTGTTGACAAAGAACTTATCATCTCTAACTGAGGATCTCTCTGTCTCAGCTGCGGCCTCAGATATGGATCAAGTAAGACCCATCTTGCCATCTAAGCAGACCGTTCTTAGAACAAACAGTTCTAATGTTGTGGCCTGTCCAGGTGTGTCCGTCTGGGGTTTCTGGTGGAATGTGAAGTTCTGCTGTGCTGCATTTGAGCATCCGATACCAATTACATGGAGACGTTGAGTGATCTGAGTTGGTATTGTGTGTGTCGTCAACTGCTTGTGGGTTTTGGGAACAAGATTGACCAGTGATTCGAATTGGGATCGTCATGTTCGTCATGCTTGTGAGCTTTGTGAACAAGATTGACCAGTGATTTGAGTTGAGTATCATTGTGTTCTTAATGCTTCTGATAGCTTTGGGAACCAGAGTGACCAGTTATTCGAGTTGGTATCGTCGTGTTCGCTGTGCTTGTGAGCTTTGGGAACAACAGTTTTGAAAGATTGAAGAGGTGTTTGGTTACGTTAGTTTCACACCATGCGGAACCCAGAAATGGTTGGTATGTTTGAACCTTGTTAGTTCATGAATAGTACTGTAGATGTTCCTCTTTTAACCATTTTGCTGAACTAAACATTTCTTATTTCACAGAATGGTGTAATTGAATGATAATTTTGTAGGAGTTAATAAAAAAATAAATAGAATTGATGTACGAACGATTTTCAAATTGAACAAACCCAATTAGCCAGTAAAACTTAGTTGATTTGGGAACATATTAAATTAAAACACGTTACATTAAATAACAATCCATGATTCAGAAATACAACATTTAAGGTCCTACAATTAAAACCAAGAAGGAAAAAACTACCATGTACAGGCTAATCCAAGTATCTCTACTAACAATACCCTGAAAAAAGTATCAGCCATGTCCTATTTGTTTGCAAGTTAACTCTACCCAGTCAAATTATGGATATGAATTGAACAACAGACATCAGTTAAAAGTGAACAACAGACATCAGTTAAAAGTGAACAACAGACATCAGTTAAAAGTGAACAACAGACATCAGTTAAAAGTGAAAGTAGCACAGACCTGTTTCAAACCTGAATATTTAGGCAGCCAAGAAGCGTTTTGTTCTTAAGATTTCACTTCTTTTCTGCCTCTCCTTGTCCGACGTGATGAAACTTTGCTCGGAGCCAAGAACTTGAGTCGGTAACTAACATCGGTCGTTCCAAAAATGCCGTGTTTCCCAGAACTACTGAAAGCTGTTTCGGCATCTGAAGTTCGCTTGAAAACTACTTTGGCTTGTTTACTTTTCTTTATTACTTCTGTCTTTGACTCGTACAGAGGTCCATATTTTCTAAATATGTCGTTCAAACTTTTTTCAGAAGGAACGGAACCGAAGTCGGTAAAGGTTAAAATCAGAGCAGTGGGAGAGGGATCCTCCACACAAGTCTCTGAATCTGGTTCAACAAGTTCAGTAGGGATAACCGTTTCACTTGGAGTCTGAATGTGGCCTTCTTCAATTTCGTTTTGATTCTCAACAGTTACTTCATCTTCAGCAATGCCTTGGATTAACCTATCAGTCCAATAAGCGTCCTTAATAAATTCAGAGTCAGATGTTTCTATAGGGGCTGAAACCTTTCTTCTTTTCCTTGTCTTTGTCGACTTATTTCCAGTCTTCACACCGGAAACTAGTTCCGAACTCCCCTGCGCTTCTGGACGTGTTAGGATCATGCAAACGAAAATTCTAAATTCTGAGAAAAAAGTATCCAAAAAGCCAAATCCTTTAATGGGTTTATACCAGCCAACAAAAGAACTGCTATAGAACCCTTTAATAGGATTATCTGTATACAAGAGCTGTTGAGTGTGGTACCTTACACTTTCTGCCTCGTCTCGTCTTGGAAACAGATTTTTGAGATAATCCATCATCGTGCTTCAGTATCGGATTCAACTCGTTCAATTTGTAAGCAACCTTTCGTATGCGATCTCCAACTCTAAAACTTTGATTAGTCTTCTTCCCAGATTCAACATTTGTTATTGGACTGTTGATAGCAGTGTTGTTACAACTTACTACCTCATCTTTTGTAATTGAAACAGGAAAATTCAATTCGTTGTCAGCATCCTCTTTAGATCCCAGTTCTTTCTTCCCGCTACGACGGGGCTTCTTGGACGTCGAATTAGAACCCTTTTTACTAGAGTCTTTTAAATCCTCAGATTTACGCTTGCACTTTCCACCTGAAATGTCTTGAATTTTCAAACTTCCTTTCCTGCTTTTGGCCACTTCATCATCTTTAATGTCTATAGCTATATCCACCATCGAGTCACTTTGGTCATCGTTTTTCACATCCAAAATGTGATCAGTATCGTTGAACGCTGCACTGTGTTTATCGTACTTGGACAGTTCAGAGTAGCCCTTCCACCGACTCAATGCCATCAATTGGGCCTCGGCACGAACCACCTCTAACTTGTCAGCTTCAGCATAAGGTGACATGGCTACTTCCTTAACAAAGTTAACAAGCTTCATTGGATCAAAAGATGACGCAGTAAGAGAGCTGTCACCACCAACTCTTTTACTCAACTTCTTGCGGATTCCTCCGTTAGCGAGTGTTTGAGTTTGAAGTTTGGAATATAATTCTTCTGATAGACAAGGGCAGGCAAGGCTAAACTCAACTCGTCTGGAGAACTCTTCCAGAGCACAATCAATTGCGTCGTGAAAACTTCCTGAATTGCTTTGCTTCTGCAACTCCGAAAAATATTCTGAAAACGGTTTTATCATCACTGCTTCTTTCCATGCAAATGTATGATCCCCAAAAAATGCTACCAGATATTTTCCTGTTTTGAAATATTTCATGGCTTTTTTTGATGAAGCTGCTGGATCACATATCTGCCCAGGCCACCAGGGATGGCTCGGTACTCTGCTCCATACTAGATCGTGGACATTGAACTTCACAACTGTGTCTTCACTGTCGTCATTAGACATGTCATCTTCATCCATGCTAACATGAGGGTTCACTTCAACAACAATGTCAAACAACTTTGACTCATCTATATCTGTTGAAGGCCCTGTCTTCCCAATATGACTGCCAGTGGCTGGATTTTCAATTGTCTGTCCACCATCAACTTTCCCACTCTGATTTTCTGAGTAGTTCGATGTTGGCACGGTTCTAACCTCAGTGGCTAATTCAGGTGGTACTTCATTTCTCTCTGTCATATTTTCAGCCTTTTGATCAAGCTTGTTAATTGACTGTATTCTATCCTCAGCACTTTTAGGAGAACCAGATGCCAAATTATCATGAAGAGAACCCGAACCATCGACATCCTTGTGGTGAAATGGACCCTCAGGATTCGTGTTTACGCGTTCATCGACACAACCCTTATGGTCAAGTACACTGTGGGATTCATCATCCTCGTTCACAACCTGATCATGTTTCACATACAATTCTTCATTTTCTGTAACTTTCTCATCCTCATCTTGCATTGTGCTAACCCCTTCTTCCTGGCTCTCAACATTATACTCAATACCAACAGAAATTATTGATCCATCCCCAGCCGTAGCATCGTCATAGGCTCCACCTTCTGTAGACTCATTCAATGATGCAAGTCCCTCTCCAACCTGGCTTTTTGCTTCACAACAAGCTAAAGCGTCACTTGGTGAAGCATTTAGTGTCCCATCAGCATTCACCACCTCGTTGTCGTCAACAATTATCTCATCCCTACACACAGCTTCAACTTTCTCTGAGGTATGTTTCCTCTTGCTAGATTCCATTTCCAACTCTGATAAATCATTTATTGCCATAGACGATGCTTCACCCTTCCTTGCGGGAGGGTCCATTTCCGTTCCCTTGACATCATCCATAGATCTTCCCTGCAAAAATTCAACATCGACTACTTCATTTCCCACATTTCCGTCGGTCTCGCCCTTATCCAACCCACAAAGCCCTTCTCCAAAGCTGTTGGTCTCTTGATCTTGAATGGCCTCATCCTCTCCCGTCTCTCCCGAGCGATTTTCACCATTGCTTTGCTCGTTTACGTAAACGGTAACAGGATGCGAAAGATCAATCCCATGGGCTTCAAACTCTCGAGCTCCCATATCAACTTCAGAGTTGAGGTCGATTTGTTCACCGTTTCCCGACATCAAAACAGACTCAAAAACCAAAAATTCTAAACCCTAATAATGACAAAACGTTGTTAAATTCAAATCATACAGCCGAGTCAAAACAATGAAATGGTACCTCGAATTTCTTCCCCCTTTCTCCCTTCTAGTTATAACAGCTTGATTTTCTTCGACTCGCAGATCGTCTTCCTTACTGAAGCTGGACCATAGAGTGAAATAAAGAAGCCTTCTCCATGGAACTGGTGTGCGAACTCGAACACCAAACCTTGAATCTGGTCTGCTTCGAGGTACAATGGTAATCCGACTGGGCTCAATACGTGGAAAACGAGAAACTCTGCCTTTTTTGGGCCTAATATGGACCAACCAATTGGCACATAAACCTACTGGGCCTGATACACGTCCATGTGAATATGGGCCTAATATGGACCATCATGGGCCTTATGAATCTGGGCCTTTTATGGGCCCATAATGACCATCATGGGCTATAACATGGATAAGCCCACACTAGCCCATCAATTTTAGATCCAATAAAGTATTAACTCGAGAGAATAAAGGATTTTTTTTAATTAAAAAAAAAAAAAACTAAATGTATTTAGTCATTTTCTGAGAGAATTATTTTAAATTTTCTGTTCCATTTTAGCCCTCTAAAAATGAGACCAATATGGGCCAAACACGTGGCACGTAAAACTGGGGCTCTGGTTTGAGCCTAACATGGACGAACATGGTCACTAGTTAAACCAACATGGGCCGTGAAAACTGGGCCTTTGCTTTAACATGGACTAATATGGGCCTAACATTGGGCCCGTAAACTGGTCCATTTACTTTGGACACTAGCCCATGAAGTGGGTCGGCGGTCCGGTTCAACCCACCTTAGACTAAAGCGCTACGTTTCTCTCCCGCCAAAATTGGAAGAACGCTTTGTTGTGATGGAAAATGTCCGGAGATCATACAGAGCGAAGATAGGCATGGAGCAAGCGTTTTCAGACTTCGACATAGCTGGAGACATCTTTGATTTGTACTTCCCCCATACTGTCTTCACTGTCGAAAATGAATGGCTTAAGCTCATTTCTCAGCTTATTTTCTTCTTTTCTTCTCCGGCAGGTCGGCATCTTGCTTCACAGGTAACTTCATCTCTCATTCGGATTGATTTTTCCTTTTTTTTTGGTTTTACATGGGATTAATTGAAGAAATTGTGTGGCGCGGGGTTTCGAGTGTTCGTGATATGTTGTTGCATCAAGAATTGGATGTAGGTAGTTCCTGCAAGGTCACTTCCAGCTTGCGATTTGTAGTTGATTTTGCAACATCGATTTCCTATTGAATCTCAAGCCTGTATCATGGACAATGGATATCTCATTAGGTTTTTCTTATACACTATAATATTGACTAGAAATGCCTCGTTTCTAGGTTGGATGTAATGCGAAAACATTTAAATCTGTTGGTTTGCAAAAGTAGCCGACGAAGTCCTCTCCATGTCCTTTTTACTTGTTCCTAGAATCGCGTGAAGGAGGGAGCTGACCTTCAATTATTTTGACAGGCTATTGATGATGGTCGTGGCATCTTTATTTTGTCAATTGACTTTCAACACTTCCGAAAGATTTGCGATGAACATGAATTATACCTAATGTTAGAGAAAGATCCTAAAGTTGCTCTCAAATGTATGAGTGCTGCACTTCACCAGGTAAAAACAAATTATTACAAGAATTTCGTTCTCCATTTGTCTGCTATAAAATACTTTCAGGGTTTCAGCTTAGGATGGTTAGCTGGCCTTTAAAGCAGGTAATGAGGACCAAATGGGCGCACAATTTAGAAGTTGTCGCAAAATTTCTAGTCCGATTGCACAACTATTCAGAATCCATGCTTGCATTGAAGAACTTGAAGGCAGCATATATTGGTACTTCGTAGCTTCTTACAAATTTATTATTGAGTCTGAAGTTTTACTGTTAAGTTCTTAAGGAAATAATGTAGGCTATATTACTTTGGGACAATGCAGACAAGCTTGTATCAGTGCGTGGTACTGTTGTTAAAGTTAGCACTGTTAAGCCTTTGGTGGTGCAAATGAGCTTTGATTGTGCTAAATGTAAAAGCAATATTACACGCATCTTTCCTGATGGTAAGTTTTCACCTCCATCGTTTTGTGAGCTGGATGGGTGCAAAAGCAAAACATTTATTCCCATTCGATCTACAGCTGAAGCAATTGACTTCCAGAAAATACGGTAACACTTCTAAAAGTTGAAAATAATCTCAATTTACAGTTAGTTTTACTGCCTACTCATTGGAAAAATCTATTCATTAGACATTTTTCTTATGTGCATTACATGTGGTACATAATTTTTCCTACTACTGTGAATATTAGATATGATTTTTTAATCTTTCCAGGTTGCAAGAACTCACTAAATCTGATGACCATGAAGAAGGAAGGGTGCCTCGAACTGTAGAATGTGAACTGACTGAAGATCTTGTTGACGCATGCATCCCTGGAGATGTTGTCACTGTTACTGGAATCATAAAAGTAATTAACAATTACATGGATATTGGAGGAGGTACCAGATTTCTTCCAAGTTGTATAGTTAACTTCTAATATTTCCCAGGAGTGGTAATTTGGTCCATGGGTCGCGTTTAAACATTTCTTGCTTGCAAGTACACACATCAACATCTTAATCATTAGGTATTTCATTACGCAGAAAATAAATTTTGATTAGTATTTTTGTTTCCTTCAACAGTTGAAGGTTGTTGGGTAATGCTTGTTCTTAATCGATTTTTCTTCTCTAACAGGGAGACTGTAGTAATGCTATACATCAGCAATTCCATAATTTTGTCGTGATAAAAATTTCAATGATTGACATCACACATCAACACCAGAGCAAAAATGAAATCAAATAAATAAAAATATCACTCACCAAACAGTAGTTATGTTGTGGATTTCTGATTCCCATTCTTTACTAGTACAGATCAAAGCAACTTTTCATATATTTTCAGGAAAATCGAAAGGCAAAAGTCAAGGATTGTACTATTTGTATCTGGAGGCTGTTTCAATAAAAAATTCCAAGTCACAATCTTCACCTGAGGAGATGCAAGATTCTAACTCCAATGCAAGAGCAACGGATTTGCTTGACTTATTCTCATTCTCCCCAAGAGATTTGGAATTTATTGTGAAATTCTCTGGGGAATATGGTTCCGATGTTTTCCGTCAAATACTTCAATCTATATGTCCATCCATCTATGGACATGAACTTGTTAAAGGTAACATTTTATACAAATTCAGATTTGCTAGTTCCCTCCATTTTTTTGGCTGACGTATTTTGTGGGTTGACTTAAAATCTGAAAAGCTGGAATAACACTAGCTCTATTTGGTGGTGTTCGAAAGCATTCAAAAGACCAGAATAAAGTTCCTGTTAGAGGGGATATTCATGTCATAGTTGTTGGTATACTTCTATGTCCATATCCTTTCCATGCTCACTTCTAGAAAAGAGTGCTTTGTGATCAATGAACAGACGTTATGGATAACTTTTTGGTGTTAATTTCATAGGTGATCCTGGACTTGGCAAAAGTCAAATACTACAAGCAGCTGCAGCTATTTCTCCACGTGGAATTTATGTTTGTGGTAATGCAACAACCAAGGCGGGCCTAACTGTAGCTGTTGTGAGGGATTCCATGACAAATGACTATGCTTTTGAGGCTGGTATGTCTTTTCTTGAACCTTACAACGTCATTTCCTATTTTTAAAATTGAGGATTTACATATTGTAATGGTAGTGATTTGGTTTTTATCATGGAAACAAAACATTGTGGGCACTTGATGATTTTATTCCTTGACTCCCAAGTATTAAATTAATCCTTACATTGGGAATTGGGAAATTCTTATTATACGCTAGTTTTAACATAGCTCAAATCTTTCAAGAGCTTATTGCATACATAGATTTCACAAGTAGATGACAATGAACTTTCAATGGTTTACAATAACGGAGTTCCGCTGATTGAAGAGAATTCTACTTGAATTCTCATCTTATGCTTTAAAACTCCTCCTAGCCGATACTTTTCAGTTTCAGAAAGTAATAATAAAGAAAATCCTGGCTACCTTCTATCCCACCGCTTTTTCCGATCTGCTTGATTATATGATTAGAGAGGGCCTGATATTCCTACTAAATTTCCATAGAAAACATCGCAATCTTAAAGAAACATGACAAATGTTTCATGAATTTGGAATCTTATTATAATAACCAATAAAGGGGAAAAAAAGTAACTTGGTTAAAATACCATTTTGGTCCTGGTTCACTGGGCTTCATTTTATTTTGGTCGTTATTCCTTAAAATTATCAAATTTAGTCAAAGCTTAAAAAGAGCTCCTATGGTTAATCCTAAGTTAGTTTTTCTCCTCAAAATTGATTAATAATAATAATAACTTTCATGCAAGAAAAAACACAGCGTGAACATATCTGGGTCTAATGGTGCTTAAATGCTTCTGAGTTGCAAGCGCATCATAGTAAATATATTGTTTTCTCCTCTAGCAATGTAGTCTACTTTCTCCACAGGGGCTATGGTACTTGCAGATGGTGGATTATGCTGTATAGATGAGTTTGATAAAATGTCTGCAGAACATCAGGTTTTTGAGCCAATGCCTAAATTCCAATTAAACTCTTACTTTTCATTGTCCATGGCTAGATTTTCTTACCTTAGATTATTGCAGGCCCTATTGGAAGCCATGGAACAACAATGTGTATCGATTGCAAAAGCTGGGCTGGTAGCAAGTCTATCAGCACGTACTTCTGTTTTAGCTGCAGCTAACCCTGTTGGCGGTCATTACAAGTAAATTCCGTTCAGAAATGTATTTGTCTCGGTCATTTGCTTTCCTGACTGACTATTCGATTTTGTGACCGATAAAACATCTATATGGTTGAGTCTTTCTTATAATCCTTCCTCTTCAAAATATCAAGTTGAACGTTTTCCAGTTTTATATTTATAGAGAATATTGTTCTTATTCCTGAGGAAAATCTCTATACATTATTTTATTTCAAAGAACCCATATTTAAAATTTTCCAGTCTACTCCAACTGAATAACGATGGGAACATGTTCTTTTATACTGGTGGTATGTATTAATTCTTAAAATAAAACTTGCAGCCGGGCAAAAACTGTGAATGAAAACTTGAAGATGAGAGCTGCTCTTCTCTCGAGATTTGATTTAGTTTTCATATTGCTGGATAAACCTGACGAATTTCTGGATAAGAGAGTCTCAGAGCACATCATGTCGGTAAGTTAATTTCGGTTGCTTCTTTTTCTTATGCTAAGTGATCTCTCGAATTACTCTGACGAATTTAATTGGAACTTAGAACCATTGAAACCATACTCTTCGGAAGCTCTATGAGAAGATGAAAGAACATTCCAATAATGAAGTTTATCTTCACAGTTAGATTGACATAAAACAAAAAGTGAGTAATCAATTCGTGATAAACGTCTGTTCTGATACCGATAAGACTTTTGAGCAGAAGGCAACAATGTGCTTGAACAAACTGAGGAATAAGGATGTCTCATATTTTGGCAGCTACATCAAGTATGATATTTGTCTTTCTTGCAGCTTCATGCAGGATATGGGGAACGCGCTTCTACAGCAAAAAGATTACGTAAAGGTATGTATCCTATTTCTTATCTATTCCTTTTACTTTCACTCACTCGATTTCCACTAATAAAAGAGTTTCTCCCGAACCAGATATAACTCCTTTGGCCTTAAAGAATGTACCAATGGAGAATGATGGAAAAGGAGATGCTTGTTCAAAAGGCGAGTCGTTAGTTTCAAGACTGAGATTGGACCGAGCGAAAGATAGCGATTTTGTACCATTACCTGGCCAACTTCTTCGCAAATATATAGCCTATGCAAGAACTTTTGTCTTCCCCAGGTTAATTTACATGCTCCCTCTACCATTTTACTTAATGCTAAAATAACTAGCGGAAACTTGGAGAAGTATTCATCACTATATTGACTTGACCTGATTTTTGAGAGCTATATTTATAGAGGTAATAGTCTACTCCACCCATCCATTTAATTATATTAACTGGTAATGGTTATACACCTTACAACTCAATGTCAATACAACAAACCTCTTTTCTCGAAATCTATCCCAACACATCTCTCCATGCTGGAATTAGGATGTCAAAGCCGGCGGCAGACATTTTGCAAAGATTTTACTTACAACTGCGTGACCAGAATACATCAGCTGATGGTACACCAATTACAGCAAGGCAACTCGAAAGTCTGGTGAGGCTGGCAGAAGCTCGAGCACGAGTAGACCTCAGGGAAGAAATTACAGTACAGGATGCCATGGTTAGTTATAGAAAGATGTACCCCAAATTTAATTAGTATGACTCAAACTTGACTTTTGTCATTAACTTTGCAGGATGTGGTAGAAATAATGAAGGAATCCCTTTATGACAAGTACGTAGATGAACATGGAGTCCTGGATTTTGGTCGAAGTGGGGGAATGAGTCAACAGAAAGAAGCCAAGCGATTTTTGAGTGCACTCAACAAGCAATCAGATTTGCAGCAGAAAGATTGTTTCTCCATCTCCGTAGGCTTATGCTACACGCTCTTGTCTCTGTTAAAGCTTATCACTTTCAGCTCCGAGCTAACCACATATTTAATGCCCTGCAGGAAATATATATCTTGGCAGATAGGATTGGTCTGCAAGTACCCGACATTGATACCTTCATAGAAAATCTTAACAGTGTTGGATATCTGCTTAAGAAGGGACCAAAGACATATCAGGTGCACGCTTCTCTTAGCAAACATACAACCAATTAAACAACAAAACTATGCATCAACCGATCATTATCAATCTTTGCACTAATCCATACATTTCCTAAACAGGTGCTATCCTCATCTTACACCAGTCAATCTACAAGGTCTAGGGGATAAAACTGGCCGATATTGAGAGGTCAAACTTTCTTTACTCTATTTTTCTCTCTCACAATGTCTCTAGGCTAGAAATGGCTCAGAAATGGCTCTTCCACAATACCAAGCATGTATTATTCGTTGATGCCGTAATAACTGTATAGTAATTTCAATGAATAACATATTTAAGTGGTACAAAAAGATATTGTTTGGCATGATAGTTGGAGATCCCAGGCCGTCGGAGACATCACTAAACCACAGGCTGTCGGAGACATCACTAAACCACTCGGGATGTCTCTTGCAAAGAAGAATTCATAGAATTTTTTTTCAAAACTCCAATCCAACCTACATGAGCCTACCCAACTGATATAGTCTAGAATCCACTAGCGTAGGCCGAGCCTACCCAGAAAATAAAAATAAACATTTTCTTTTTTTGGCATTATGCAGTCCAATGGATTATCTTTCTTCGGTAAATCTAACCAAGATTTGAAAACCTCAGCTTCTCTCTTCCTCTCAATAACATTTACAATTTAACATCCATATTTCAAAAGTCTCGTCTTTCTTTGTGTCGTTAATATTCAAAAGGTAATTATTGAAAGAAATTACCTTGAAAGATATAACATCAAACTAAACTTGCTAAAATATAGAGGTTTTCATTTATAGTACCTTTGGAAATAAATGTTTTTTTTTTTTTTTTACCCAAAGTCAATTTTTCAATAAAAAAAAATTAATAATTTAAAATGTATTTACTATGATTTCTTGAATTATTTAAAATTATAATATTTTTTTCTAAAGAAAATCTTAATAAAGAAAAATACTTTAAAGTTTTGAATTAATAAAAAAACCTAATTTTTGAAGCGAGTTCATCCTTTGAAAACTCTCATTTATCAAAGCAAATTCTATGTCCAAGGAGTTAGCAAATTAAAACTGCCTATTTCTTTCTATTGAGGAAAAAAAAGAATTGCCTATTTCTCACCTCTCAGGACATGCATAGTTAGGCCAGAAAATTAAACACATTCAACTCCATATGGCACAGATTCTATGCTCAATAAAAGAAAGCAAGTAGGACGAGCTAATTTTTACCGTGGAGATTATTTACAGTGTCAGCATGGGTTAAAAGTAAAATGGGAGACCATGCCAATAAATCTAAGAGGAGGCTGTACATTGGAACTTACCCACCAAATGAAGAAGCAGCCTCCTCTTATTCACCCACAATCTGATCTTCTTCCTCCATTTTCACCTTTGTTATAGCTCTACTCTCATAATTACCAATTTCACTTTTTACATATGTTAAGAAACTTGAAGATCCTACGATAGGTGAAACGAGCCTTGTCCTTCCGTGATGGCGTATAAAAGCTTCTCTTTCATTATCTCCTGAACAAATAGAGAATTTGGAGTGAGAATGACCATTTTGTTCCAATAAAAAGAAAAAGAATGGTTTTTAGTTCAACGATATGCAAATGAAGGATTTGAACTTCTGACCACTTCATCTAAGGTCTATATATTAACCAATCGGGCTAAGATCAAATAAGCAAAGCACGAAAAAAGTAATCACCTTTGAAGAGTACGGAGGCAACTTTAGATAGTTTGCACAGGTCATCACACTAGGCAAGTCAGAATCAACCAGATTGCTAGAATGCTGTGTAAAAAAAATTCAAAAAATTAAGTATATGGGCTGGATTGAATCAAATATTTAAGGAGAATGTGTTGATAATGAAACCTTTCGAACTATAGTCAACTTCGGATTTAGAGAAGCGAAGCCTCCAGAAGGAAGCCTTGGCGCCCCAGTCACAAACTGTAGAAATGCTCGTTGATGTTCGTTGTCGAACTCTTGAATAATTTCAAGCAACTACAATTCAAAAAATGGGAGAGAATCATGCCATAACCTAATAAGAAATATTTTAACAAATCAATAGGGTTTAGGGTTCATTTTATAAGCTAACATTAACAATGGAGGGGCTACTGGCTGTATATCCGTGGTCAAACTTCACATTCTCAAGGAGTTCATTCAACTGCGCCAAAAAAATTACAAAAAATCAAGTTAATGGATAACTTCAGAAAAGTAAACAAGCTGGTTAACTGATACACGTACAGCCCAAGAGTCGTGTTCTCCACATATTAAGCGCTCTAATTCTTCTGCAGTAAAAACTTGAAGATGTTCTATGGGGAAAACCTGAGGTTTGACAACGAAAAGATTGCGATTATCAGTTAAGATCGCGAAGGTACCAGTAGATGTCCGAAGACAATATAAACACGTGTTTATAAGGTAATTAACCATTTTTCTTTAAATCAACTAACAATGCTTCATGACATTCTGAGTCAAAAGTTTCTTGCATTAAAAACATTGCAGTTCATCCATTCCTTATATTGTGCCTATAACATAATTTATAGACACTCAAAGTTGAACCACAGATTTTCCTAGTTTTTCCCTTAAAATTTGAATGAGATAATAGAACTACATCTGCACTTAAACCAAAGTATACGCAATCCGGTATCACGTCTAGAAATCAGATCATTTGATATTATTTAGCCAAAGGCATCGATAATGATTCATAAAACAGCAGTATATCATCCAATTGAAAATTTTGATCCTAAATAAAGATATCAAAACATAAGCTGAATTCCCAAGATTATGAACAAGAAAGGATCCTTTTCATTCTGCAAGTTTTAACTAGAGAGGCCAAATAAATAAACATGAGAAATCCAATAAGTGAGAGGGGCCATAGTGAAGCTAACCTGATTAAATCCAGATTTAAATGCTTCTATTTGCCTCGAAATTCCAGAATTTAAAGTAGCATCTACAACAAGAGAGACGTAATCCTCCAAATTTTTTGTATTTACCTGGGAAAAGGTCAATTGTATTTTGTGTTATTTAGTGCATCCTTACAAAAAGATGACCATAATCACAGTGAAAATTTGCATTACCATTGTATGATCTTGAGATGAGATCAGGAGATAATCAGGATAACCAGGAACAGTAAAATCAAGGCAAAGATCCTCAATATTGGTATTATGGTAACAAAATTCAAGTTTGGCCGACGAGTTTTCTTCACAGACAGATTCTAACAATTTACCTCTGTCGACCAGAGCTTGAAACTCGAGCAAAGCAGTTCCAAGTTCTGGATCAAATGATTGGATGTCATATATACTCACCTCCTACACGAATAACATGAAATCAAATAATGGAATGCAAAAAAGACAAGAGGAAGCACTTGAAAGAATTTCATGCAGGTACCTGCCCAAGTATTAATTTATAGAAGGCTTTGGAGAAGTAGATATCCATAACCCTACCATCTTGGATGGCCCTTGCCACAATTTTCCCTAGAAGTACAAACTTTTTAACTACTTCGGAAAAATATAGCTCATGAGTATCCAGGGTTGATGGCCATGGACGGGGGAAAAGCCCAAATGGAGATTCAACAGTTTCTCTACCCTCTATGGAAATAAGAGCACCATGATCCCCTCTCCACATTCCAAGGTCAAACTTCTGAAATTCACGACCGACAAGAGTATAGAATTCTAATGTTGGACCAAGCCCTGTGCCAACTTCTTCATCGTATTCCACCTCAAGCAGTACTTTCTGATGTGCATACTGATCCATCATTTTGACAGCAGAATCTAGAATTTTGTTGCGGTGTACTAATACCTTCTTACGAGGCAAGCCACCAGAATTTGATCGTTCGTCATTTGAGGTCCTTAAGTCACTGTATGATCTTATATATGGCTGGCGATGCGACATGGCAAATGCTACTATCCGAAAGTACTTGCATCTAGCATCAAAACTAAATAAGAAAGGGCATGAATCCATAAGTTCCTTACACCATAAAGGCATGCCACCAATAGAAAACGCAGAAAAGTCCCTCATCTGCTGTTCAAGTTTTTCAGTCAGTTTGCTGTTTACAAATTCATTCTGCGGCACTGAAGGAAATGATAGCTTTATATTGTCCAAGGTATTAATTCTCCCTTCAGCAAAAGCACGAATCCTTTCATGTGACATTATGTGAAATGCCATTCTGTTCATGCCCTCTATGCTCCTTAGAAGAAATAAAACATCATAAGCAGGACTTTCTTTTGCCAAGTCAGAAGGCAGAATACAATCTAGACCATGGAAAAATGAAGAGAACTTCAACGTTGCAGCTTTGTCTGACGCAGAAAGTAATTCGTTAGAACTGTTGTCCTCACTTTCTCCAGCACTTTTATATGTTAGAGTATATACTTTGTTCCACAATTTTGTCCCAGAAATAGTTTCATTTTCTTTCATGTGTTGTTGAAGAATTGCCTGATAAAGTGTCAAAGTGGGCTCCAGCTGCTTTCCCTCAAGGTAAAGTAACAATTTGGGCTTCATGCCTTTCTTACTGCAAGATACAGAATACTGTAATTTCTCATCGGTGTTGACTTCTGTAGATCCCTGAACCAAAACAAGGTTAACATAAATTTAGGAATGCACACATAACCATAGTCCAGAAGATGAATCAATGCTCTCAGTCACGGACTAAGCAGGCACTCAAAAAGACAATATAAGAGAAGTAAGGCAACCAATTATACTAGAATATTCTGCTGGAACCATAACATTTTTTCTAGTTTACTTGGAAGGAGAAAAATGGCATAAAGTTGAATCCAAAAGGATCAAATTAAAATTTGCAATGGATGAAGGTGCAAACTCTAGAACCGATCCATCTTATAACACAGTTTCACATGTGTGCTTATAGAAATGATCAACTTACAATATAAGTTTCATCTAATTATATTCTTTCACTTAAAAATAATTGAACCTAAACCAAATGGATCTAGATATGGACATTATTTACCAGAATCATAAATTCATTGAAGCAAACAGACCTCCACTATGCATAATAAATCACTCTACTTCAGTATCATAAAATTTTGGAGTAGTTTATGATTTTCTCAAAATTATAAATTTCAAAAAGAAAACAGGAAGAGACCTGAGTTTCAGACAAATCTGTGGACATGCTGTCAGACCCTACTAGTTTTGGGTTAACACCCCAACCATAACATACATTTGAGAGGAGTTTAATTTGATGTTCCCTCAGGCTATCTGCTTCAAAGGACTGCTCAGCTTTTTTTGTGCCAACTTTGGACCACAGAAACCCTTCGATGGCATTCAAAGAAGAAAAGGGGTCAACAGTATGGATATCCCCAGTATAGTTGCAGAGATCTGTTTCCCCGTCTCCTCTCACAAACCGAACTTTCACACAAGGATGTGGTATGCACCGACCATTTGGAACCGTAGCAAAATAATTCCTGTGTTTGAGTCCCTGGCTAGAAACAACAGGAAAGTTTTCTAAAGACGACAGTGAGGTTTGTAATTTCCTTATCAAGACCAAAACTGGCAAGCTTTCAGACGGGGGTTCTGCACTAGATAAGAGAAGCCTTGCAAAAACCTCAAATCTTCTTTCCATAATTGAGAATTGTCTAGATATAATATGTGGTTCTCCCTTTTTCCTCATATACTGACCATTAGTTAGGTAATTTATAAATGACTTGACAATTCCACTTTCGATAAATTCAAAGGTGGATATGGGCTCGCCACACTTCAGCTTTGACATAATCTCAGCCAATAAAGCATAAAAATTTTCTTCATCCTGCGCTGGAGTATCCTTAATTAAGGACAAGTTCAATAGATCATCTAGAGAACCAGAAAGAGTTTGAAGATTTTGAAGAATATCTGTCACTCCTTTATCAGTGTCACATAATTCTTCAGAAAAATAATGGGTTCTTATGTGATATGCAAGACTATAAACAGAGTCCTTGTCAAGCTTGCAGTTTCCTGTTTCTTCCGTTGAGGAGAAACAGCCACTCAAAAAGGCATAACATAAGCATCTTGCATTTTCTCTTGAAGACTTTTGACATGAACCAATTGAAGGGTGGACACCAGTAAACACTGGGAAAATCAACTGTTTATACTTCTCTGGGGTTATCAGTGCATCAATTGCAAAATAAACACCCTCCTTAACAAATGATTTAAAAAATATACTAGAGAGCTTTTGCAGGATAATCTCAGTGATTTTTAAAGCTAACATCAGCACATGGTGGTCTTTTCGAGTAAATACTCCAGCCAGGAAACTGACAAATTAGGCAGAAAAAATCATTAGACGTTCAGAAAGCAATTTGAAAATACCATTAAAAGGAAAATCAGAGACACCATTCACCTAGAAATATTGGTGTTCTGAAGCAACTCGACAAGCATGTCAGATTCACCCAAACAGACAAACTTGTAGATAATAGTTAGGCAGCCACAACAAACATACAAGTTTGCACCAGAACTAACCACCTGCAGCAGGGAAAATGAGATGTTATAGAGGATGGGAAGAGACAGAGCTCTTTTATTAGTTTATAATAATAACCACCTGAACAAGCAAAGGAAGTACATCCAAGCCAAACTTCTGCAGTTTCTTGGGATTACTGACTAAAAAAGATACTTTTTCGGACAATTCTTCTGCATTTGCATCTCCAGTGGGGAGAAGCTCGTTAAGTAATTTCAGGACTTCACATACCTGAGAAAAATCAATTACAATAAATCCCCATACAAAATTTTTAGAAAAATCATAAAAACATTGAGGCATATGAATTCTAGACTCAAATTAGGCCAATTATGAGCAATTGAACTATCACTTATGACAAATGTTAAGGCATTAATTCTCCTAGCACAGGCTACTAAGCGCAAGCCAGGTACAGTGGAGGTTTGAACATGATGTTATATCCTTAACAAAGCATCTTGATTTTAGAGATTTATGTTGCACATGCCTTCGATATATCAAAAGCATGACTTGAGATTTGGAAAGATAAAAAAAAAACTTCCAGACAATAGTATCCATTGTATCCTGCAACACTTAAAATAGATTTCTATGATTTTAAGTATTTTTTCAGAATAATTATTGAGGAAAAAAAAATATCCCTCTGTAAGTTTCCTAGAAATATTTTAAAAAAGAATCTGTCACGGCATCCAGTCAGAGTGTTCCTGTGGACATGCTAATAGACTAATACCTGGTTGCGCTGCCCGTCAACTACAGAACATGAAGAAGACATTCCATGCGAGAGATTGTAAGCAGATAATATGTCCTTCAAAGTGTTGCTAATGTTTAGCTCATAAAGAGTTTTGAAAGCAACAGTTGATCCTGAAGATAGTTTGACAAGTACACCAAGCAAATCCTGAAAAGAAACTGGATGGTCATTCACCATTCTGCCTTAAAGATGGTGGTAGAGGCTACAGCTAGAAGTTCATTTGCATTTTTTAAAAATAAAAATATACAAAATTCTAAACCATTTCGTGTATGATTCTCTACTTACATTGTAAGTGGTCTGGGACAAAGTCGTTCGACTATTCAAGTTTATAAGGTGAATGACTTGTTGAATCAGCCCATGACGACAGAGACCATCCAAAAGCTCACAGGATTGACTGACACGCTCAACTATTTTAATCATGCATAAAGCCACATTCTCTGATAGCTGAAATGTGTGATTATAACAAGGAGAAGATTGATAAAAAAAATAAAAATTAAAAAAAAAAGCAATATGAAGTATTCAAGCCCAGTTGTTCAAACCTGCCCATCTTCATACTGAAGGAGATTGCATAGTATAGGAACAGCATCAATCAAAGTTGGTGGACACTCAGAAGGAAGTTTTCTGCAGACATTCACCACAGTACGAAGAGCAGTCCTCTGATCCAAACCAGATTTATACGTTAAATTTTCAATCTTTTGATCATAGGGTTTGGGGGGAACAAAATAATAGGAACATGAAATCAATCAAATTGTCAAGAAAAAATCAAAACCCAGAAAGGAAAAGACCTTACTTGTATGCTAGTAGAAAAAAAATCAATGTAAGTTAAAACAGCCATAACTGCACCAGCCTCCAAGCAGGCGACAGGTTGTTCCCGTGATATTTTTTCCAATGCTATCAAACACTGCATTAAAACAGAATCTCCAAAATATAGTAAGAGTATTCAGCATCCAAAGATGAGCTATCGATTGTAATATCTAGAATCATATAATTTAATGAATGAACTAAGACTAAAAATCATATGAGCATGATGAGCTCACCTGTTCAGCAACATCCAAATACTTAATAACTCCTAGCATCTGACAGAGGGCACGTACTCCATCATGACGAACTAGAAAACTAGAAGATCTGGGGTAAACATCACATAAATAAGTTATAGCCCTTAGAGCCAAAAGCACTATCTCCGGGTCGCTATCAAGTTTCACCAGATTTACAAGAACTATAGATAATGAATCTGATGTCATGCTCGATAGTGAATTCTCCATACAGAATGATAAAACTTCACATAGCTCCACTAGCAGTGTTCTTTGTGCAGACAGCTCAGATTCTTCACCCAAGCTTGACAAAATCCTTTTCAATCGTCCATGATCACTAGACGATCTTTGCCTCTGATAATTCCGAAGATCACTATGTTTTTGTTCTGCATCATCAGAATCACAAGAGCCGTAGGCTGAATCCTTATCATATTCTCCTTCTGAACGACTAGAGGCAGAAGCAGATGGTGAAGTGTCCATGTCATTATCATGAAAGCCTGAACTTGAATTAATGACCGTCACGTGCATTTGCATAGATGAATTAGACGAGCTTGGTCTGAATTCCAGTGAACTGCAAGCCCGTTTGTCTGCCGGTAATCTATCCACCATTTCAGTACGCTTTTGGCCACGATTTCCCATTTATCATTTATTAGCTTTTTAATAGAGATTTAACCCTCCTATGTAATTAAGAGATCCAACATTGCATAAGATTGACAAACTTTTTTATCCTTTAATGCTTTGCATATTACTAATGATCGGAATCAAACTATACAACAAGAAAAATCATTAAATAAAAGACACGAAGACAAATGGTATTTTGGCTCAACACTAACAATTTCACTCCAATAGAGCGAGAGGCGGAGGTGAAACATTAGAATCTGAACCTCATAGAATAATCGGATGAAATTGAACATTCAACTGAGAAGTGTATCTCTTAAACCTTAAGAGCTAAATAAGAAAAAAAAAAAAATTCTATGCACCGTCAATTTGAACAAAAATAAACAAAATACAACAGCTCCAAGATTAACACAGAACCCAAAAACTCCATGGATTTAACCACCATTGACAAGTAAAATTTAATATCACATATACTTAACAATCACGAACATATAACTAAGTTCTCCAGTAAGCTCGTAACCAGTCCACTTTTAACAACCAAAGAAGACCAAAGCCAAAACAAATGCAACGAAGAACAAGATCAAAAATCACGAATGTAAAGACGGATTTACGATCAGACAAGGCAAACACAATCTCATATTTTCTTAGTACCTTAGCGGTGCAAGCCGAAGACACGAAATTCCAAAATATGCGAGGAGAAAAAGCTTCTCCGTCTACGGAACGCAACCAACCGGAGGATGCTTTTATCGGTGATCGAAATTGCAAAACTCCTTTGAGGTATGATGAAAAGAAACAGAGCTAGAGAACATCAGAGCTTAGAGATATATATGAAAGACTAAGAGACTGAATACGTCTGATCAAATATATATTTTATTATTATCATTTTTCATTTTTTTTTTATTGTTTTTAATTTTATTCTTTTTCATTGGTGAATCTTTTATGTTTATCTATATTTCTAATTAAAATAAATAGAAAACATGTCAGTAATAAAATTATATTTTAATTTTTTTATTAAAATTAATTGTAACTTAAAATAAATTAAAAAATAACTTGCCTTATATAAATTAATTTGGCACAAAATTAAAAAACAAAATTGCTGATATATATATATATATATAAGTTACTGCATAAAAGTTTTTATAATATATATATTTAAGAATTTGGAAAGTTAATTAGAAAATTAAAAAATGAATAAAAAATAGAAAAAAAAAAATCTTCCAGATTTCTGGTTTAAAATAAAATATTTCTAAATAATACATTATTTAAATCCATTAAACAAAAAATATTAAAAAATAATAATAAACTTAAAATACATATTTATAATTGAAGTTGTCATTTGAATAAAATTAATTTTTCAGGCCAGTAAGATATTCATATTTCAAATTAATAATTATATTATATTTTAAAAATAATAATAAATAAACTAATTTTGAAATATTTATTAAAAAGATATAAGTATTTCTAATCTTGATCTTAAAAAAATAAATTCGATTTATTTCGTGTCTTAATTTATTAAAAATATATATTTTATAAACTATAGACTAAAATAAAATCAATATAAAAAATATATATATTGTTAAAAAACTGATCATATTGCAAGTTGTGATATGATAGAAATCATTTTATTTGACCTTTAAAAAAGAAATATATTCTAAATTTATATCACAACATTAATCTAATTAATAAGTAATATAACTGAAATTATTTGTTGTGTCTAACATGAGTATGCTAATTTTAATTTTTTTTATAATATTAAATTTATATAATTATGATGTACTAATTAAACAACTCTTCACCAAATAGATTTAAACTAATTGGTTATATAATTTTAATTGAATCAAATAATCATAAAAGTTAACATTTTTTATTAATTAATTTCCACCAACTAAATGAATTTAATAAATTATTAATTTATTAAATATTTCAATAAATATATATATATAGATATAGATATATATATATTCAAATTATTCTCTAAAAAAAAAACATCTATTCACTTTTCACTGACTTTTAAGAAAATACCAAAAAAAAAATCTACATATTCACCGAGCAAAAGCAACACCTACCTATTCCTTTCTAGGGTCCAAGAAACAACTCCTCACGTATAAAATTATAGCCAATCGAATTGTCTCGTTCCGTGTAGTCGGGACATGATAGGACTAATAGAATTGAATAAATTGGGAGCAGAAACTAGAAAAGGAATAGAAAACTGGATACTCGACAAAAGATCCTAACGGTTGAGCCCGAGAGAATCTGAACTCAAACTTCTAAGATAACCCCCCAATCAGAACACGGCGATCATCAAGATTAATTAACTCTAAAACATAAAAATTAAACATTTAAATATGTTCTTGCTTGACTAAGAATGGTAAAGAAGGTAACAGGACCCCACCATATCATGAAAGAACATGATAATGCAGGTCATTCTCATAAGAAAACTAATTATCATTTAATCTTTAAAAGCTTAAAGGAAACACAATAAATGAAATGAAACAATCCTGGAGAGGTGAAGTAGAGATGAAGCAAACACTTTTGGTAGGGAAACTACTTTTACTTTTCCCCCCAAAGGGAATATAACAGTAAAAAAACAAACAAACAAACGAAACAACAACCAGAAATCAACACAAACAAAAACCATTCATTTCATCTTACAGCAAAGGAGGATTTAAGAACACTTCTAGAACCAAATCATTCATTCCTGAGAACACAAATTTATTGTTTTGATTAGGGAAATGATTAAAGAAAATGTGAAGGGTCCTTTTCAAGATCTTCCATCCAAGTCCTTGCTAGGGTTGTAAGGTTTACTACAAGTCACCAATAAATGGGATCCCCAGGACTTGGAAGGAACCTCTCTTAAATGTTGTGTCCTATTCCAATCCAATAAACAAGAGCCATAATAATATACAACATTTCAACTGTTTCTACAAAGTATTGAAACCACCCAAACTTCAAATAAATAGACTCGATTTTTTTGCTGTTATGCTGAACATCGATCTCCGTATTCAACAGTTTAAATGGTCGAATTCGAGGCAAGTTTAGTCGGTGCCTTGCATGGGGACCATCAGATGCTGGGCTTGTGACTGCAAAAAATGCGAAGGTGGGTATTAAACCTAAAGAGGAGAAACACTTCCAAGTCAACTACTTGAAACTATTGTGAATGGTAAAAACAAAGTTTCTAACATGTACTTGTAGCTGGTTCGTTCCTGCTCATTTATGTCTTAAATGTTTTTATAGGACCCGGGATTCTAATTATTTCTATATCCGTGAATGTCTGGGTCAGCGATCCTACTATATTTGATTGTCACGGTAACTAGTAGAATATTATATCTTAGGTAAGTAGCCAACATGGCTTGAACCGATTCTCACCTAGTCCTTTAATTATTTATTTGACCACTATACTCAAAAGGGTATCTCTCAATTTAGAGAAGTTCAAAAAGGTTACATGCTCATTTTCTATCACCAAAGCTACAAGGGAAATAGTCATTTACTCCTGTAAGTCATCTCCTTGAGACATTCAAATTTATGTACTAATTGTTCATATATTTCAACCAAGACTTGTATATGAAAGCTCTAACAATAAACCCCAAGTGATAATACGAGACAGATGCTTTGACTCAGGAAAGAACTTCCAAGACTCATGAAGATATGAAGTATGAACTAGAAACAAAATTACTTTTCTAAAACAATGCAGTTACTGAAAGAGAGGGTAGAAAGGATGAACTCTAGCAAACCCTAACAGATTCTGCAAATCATGGGGAGTCTACCAATGGGATTCGCCTTGCTTCATGACACAAAAGTAGACATGAGTTACAAACCGTTGCTTCCAAAGGGAAAGCCCAAAGGGGACAATATCTGCTAGCGGTAGGTTTGGGTTGTTACACATGGTATCAAAGCCGGTTACTAGGCAGTGTGCCAGCGAGGACGTCGAGCTCCCGAAGGGAGTGATGGTGTAACGACCCAGGCCCACCGCTAGCAGATATTGTCCCCTTTGAGTTTTCCCTTTTTGGGCTCTCCCTAGACTTTAAAACGCGTCTGTTAGGAGAAGGTTTCCACACCCTTATAAAGGGTGATTTGTTCTCTTCCCCAACCAATGTGGGACATCACAAGTGGAATGCGAGATTTCACATCGGTAAGAGAGCGAAACAAAGCATTTCTTATAAGGGTGTGAAAATCTCTCTCTAACAGGCGTGTTTTAAAACCTTGAGAAGAAACCTAGAAAGGAAAGCCCAAAAAGAACAATATCTGCTAGCGGTGTACTTGGGCTGGTCACTAGGCTCTTCGTAATTATGATTTTTGTCTTGTTCTTTCAAATTTGAGTCATTTTTTGACGTTAAAGTTGGACTAATGAGATAAAAAAAACTTTTCACAATCTAAATACACTAGCATAACTGCTTCTTCGCTTATTCAAAGGACATTATGGAAGTACGTGCTTGTTTGTGTGTATGTGCGTGTGTATGAGAGAGAGAGAGAGAGAGAGAGAGTACTTGAGAACTTCCATAATTAACTCCTTGGGAAAACGTCCCTTGATGAGCAACCTACACAATTGGGAAAGAAAAAAGCTTAGAAGAAAACACCAAAAAGGGCAGCTCAATGAGAAAGAAAGTAACTCTTATAATTGACCTGAGCACCAGGGGTTGGATGAGCTTCCTTCTTAGCTGACGCATCGCCACCTTTAGCAGACCCCTTAGTGTCACCCTGTCAGACAACACAACACAAACAATATATAGAAACCTCCCAATTTCATTCAAACATGATGTTGACAAATCACAGAAACGTAGAGGAAAACACTCAATCTTACCTCAGTCTAAAACGCCCCAAGTCCCAACCAGCAGGCAAAGAAAACAGCCATCCATCAGTTCAAGAACACAACGAACAGCAGTAAAATTAACAAACAAGAACTAAATAAATCAAAAGTTAAGACTAAATGATGAGCTGAGCTCCCTGTTTCAAATGAATCATGAAAAGTGGATAACAGAACACATAGTGAAAGAATGGCCAGCGATGCATTAGTATTAGCATTAGCCGATTCTGAGTACCTCTCTGTATTTCGTCAAGTAGGTTTTTAGCGGATCGATATAATCCTCAAATCCAAGAGTCGCCATAGCCCAAAGCAAATCATCTCCATTAATCGTCTTCCGTTTCTCTCTTTGACATTTATCACTAGCCCTAAACACAATTCAACCCTAAGAATCCCAAAATTCAGAACAAGAAACGAACAACAATTAACTATAGAACAATAAACACTTCCATACTCGCTAGTGATAAAACTGATGAACTCCGAAACACATTCTTGTACGGTCTCCTTGGCATCCTTCGCAATCTTACCATTAGCCGGAAGAGCCTTCTTCATGATCCTACTAATATTCGCAATCGGAAGAAACCTGTCCTGTTCACGAACATTAGACCTCGGACTATGCTCACCGCTCTCATGGCTACCTCCGCCAGGGCTCGCCGGAGCATCAGCCATGTTCTTCACTACCCTATCTCAAAAAACCAATAACGAGACAACATCATCAACAAAACCCATGAAAATGACCACAAACCGAAGCTCCAGAAGAGACCAGAAGCAAAAATGGAAGATGGAGGAAGAATTAGAGCGCAAAAACGGGAAAAAGCCATGAAAATACGAAAAGGTTGACATCGGTTTGAAGAGAAAGAGAAAAAAAAATTGAAAAATGAAGAGGTTTTACCTGGTGGGAGAAGAAACGGAAGGGGATTTGTAATTTGGGCGCGGGAGAGGGAAGGGATTTAGATCGGGTGGAAATGGAGTGGTGGAATGGATCGGACGATGGTGAAGGTAGGAGAAAGGAGACGACTGAG